AGAGAATTCGTCGAATTCGAGAAAGATATGGCTCCTTATACAACGAAAATAGGGGTTGGACGAGATTACCATGGCGGAAATAACATGGAAGGAGTATTTGGACGAGATTGCAGTTGTTGCAATTNCCACCGCGGTGCTCCTTCCCTACGAGAGCGCTCATTCAAAAACTGGCATGTCCGTGATATAACACGACATAACGCGTTTCATTGAGATCATTTCTTGATAAACCGACATTGTAATAGGTGGCCCCTCCCAACTACATTTTCACCTGATAATTGATGAAGGATATGACGGGATCGTAGGTACTCGGTGACAGGAACTCATAATAAATGATAAGAGAAGATAAGGGGTTTGAAAGAGCAATAGCCAACCACCGATCAAAATTCTAACCCTTCGGCATTGACGAAAAAAGTGAGTTGACCCTACTAGAGGCACTACGACCAGCAGATGAGAACTTTGTTAATTTCTTGCTATTAGATTACGACCGCTACCCAACAAGGTTTGTGACTTAATGAAGGATCTTCTTTGCTCGACATCATTTACAACAAAACTTATCCGACCGCCACTCATTTTTAACTCTCGATGAATGATGTCTTCATAAAGAGAAGGGTCCATTGATGATGACATCTGATAGTGATGTTTCCACCGCTCGCAACATTTGTAATTACCGCCCCAAGCTTTGGTTGTCTAACAGTTGAATTTTCGATGGGTATTTGTTTTTAAGAAAGAGAGCAGAAGATGTACATTTCCAATCAGAGGCGTAAGCGCGACTATCACTGAATTACATTTGCACTGTCCTGTTAGTCTTGCGTCAAAGTTCGTGTATAGGAAACTATTATTAGTCCCAAAAAAGAAGTGGAAAGTTAACTGATAACTACAACTCTGTCAAAGAAGTAGAGAAGCTCGGGTTAGCCAGGCGAATCGACTAGTTCATGAATAAACTAGGGCTGATCAACTTTATCACGTCTTAAAGTGTGGCTAAGATGCATCCAATTTCCCAGAAAATCGAAGCGAGGAAGCATGATTTTGACTATGCTATCCACTGAATCATCAGCAACTCCAGAACAACAAAATATAGCAAGCCTATTGGCTCTAATAACAACGATGAGTATGAACAGTTCAACAAAATATAGCAAGCCTATTAGCTCTAAGAACAATGATGAGTATGAATTGAACTGGAACTGATTGTATTGGCACTCAACCGCCCTGCAATTAGTGCTGTCCTGTACCCATACATGATGTCTGACATTTCAAGGACTCAACCGAAGCTGCAGAAAGGCTTGGGAAACTCGCTGACATTGACGCCGTTGCTGACGAAAAGATAGAGGACCTTCGGAAAACCTTAGAACTACTCGAATATCAGAGGAGGGAACGAGAGGTGTGTGCCCAACTTTATGCAAAATTTCTCAATTATCCATTTATCTCCATTACTGTTCTGTTCCGAGATGAATAATTTACAAAATGATACGGAAAGTATAATAATTGCCCTCTAAGCGCAATAGTGCATCTCTCGAATTGCAGTAGGCTTTTTCCAACACTTTAGTAGTACTGTCAAAGTCAAACTAGGATCTGATCGAAGAAGAACATTCTACCTGCGGTTCCCACCTTTTGATATTCATGCAATCGGCCTGGCATGTCGAGAAAATAATTAAAGTGCCGAGAAAGCATTTCTGACTTCATTCCAGGGTGTAGGAAAACTCCCTGCTTGGTACAGATTCAAAAACTCTTCACTCAAGTATGATTGAAATTAATCTAGAGGGAACTGGAGCTCATTGCATGAGAAATGGCTTGACTCGAAGGGCTGGTCAACTGTGATAGTGTCACCCACTTCGCTTTCCCGCTCATTTCGCAAACTCAACGCCTGAAGGATCAGTTTCAGCCTCTTCTTTACCGTGCATATCTCTTCATCTGCTCTATGCTGAATTGGATAGCAATCAGGATGAATCAGTTCATGTTGAATTGTCGTGTTATTGCGGATTTGGCATGGCAGAGAGCCAATGCTCCGTCCACATCTATAACGGCAGATACTCAGCAAGAAACGTCCACACAAAAAAGTGACGAAACCGAAGTCACGATGCGACAGAAGGTTTGCAGGCCTTCATGTACTTGATCATTCACCCTTTCACCCTTAGAGTGTTATTAGTGCAAAGCTGTTTTGAAATCTGATGAAACTTCTCCTTCACACGCCTCTGACTTTTTTTATTTATTTAACTAGTGTGCGTCGACCGACGCGCTTCCATAAAACATCGACTTCAAGAAATTTTTTTTCCGAAAAAAGCTTCTCAAAGCATAAAGGATAAGGTCTTTGGCACTAATCAATCCCGTCCGAGGTATGAACACCACGAGCATTGGATTTCCATTCAGGATCGTGGTGGCGTATTGATGCGTACGTGACCCACACGATGAATTGCGGTGGCCAGCCAATGTCCAAATTGGCGCTTTTGTGCTCCCATACGGATCTGATACCTATGTATTAACCGACCCGGAGGGACAGAAGGCTTCGTTGGTCGAGGCTGATATCGATCCTGTTTTTGAACCGCAGACCATGCGTGTGTGATGGTGCGCCATTTCCCTCTACACTCCCTCGCGAACAATTGTTGTACTTTCGGCTTGCTGAGCTCAATAGTATAACCTATCGTTTATTTAGTTTCGGAAATCCGATGAGCTTCACCGTAAGCATCACGACTTTATAAAAAATTTATAAAAAATACATTGAGCAATTTCAGCGTGAACAACTTGCTGCAGCGAAAAAGTGAAAGAAGCATTGCACGTCTATACTATCAATTCAATCTAATCATTCAACAAAACAAATACGAGACTTTAAGCAATGTCAAAGGGTTGTTAAGATTCTTCATTGTAGATCTCATGCGTTTTGTCCACTTCCTTCCGACTCGATTGTATTTCCGATGTCGTCTCGTATTTTGTTAACTTCAATTAGGCTATCTGCGCCGTTCTTAAATAAAGTATTTTACTTGATCATAATACAGTCGGATGCGGAAACTGTTAGAGGCACAGTTTGCGATTATTTTTTTAGGTACCCCTTTTTATTCGAAAAGTGGAAGCATAGGCTCTGAATAGTCCATCGCTAGTGAAGAAAGCGAGAGAATTCGTCGAATTCGAGAAAGATATGGCTCCTTAAACAACGAAAATAGGGGTTGGACGAGATTACCATGGCGGAAATAACACGGAAGGAGTATTTGGACGAGATTGCAGTTGTTGCAATTGCGCAAAGAGCCGACTACATCAAGCCAGAACTGTACAGAACTGTCTTTCACTGTCACTATGGGTCATAACAAGTTGTTTGGACTTCCTACATGACTTCCCGAGTGATCGGTGCAGCCTGTACAGTGCCGGTGACACTCGTCTGGAGATACATGCGGTACAATCTTCGAGGCTTTATAACGCCCTGACTAGACCGTTTTCCGAACTAATAGCGCCAGATATGATATACGAGTTGGCATCGAATCCATCCTACAGGAAAATGTCAGGAACCATTTTTAACGTGAACTGTGCTTTTAAACAAAAATAGTCTTGCGTAGTTACTGAAGCTCTTGTGACCCTTATTAGCATGACCTGCTTTTTAGAACTTCTAGATAGAATTTCAACTATGTGGCGTTGTGATGTGCTATGTAATGACTATAATGACAGAATGCTTCTGAAACGATGTAAAACTCACTTTGTTATCATAGTATGGGTGGAAACAGAAGCCCTGATTGACGAACACGAAGGGACGGCAACAGAAGCCACCTTTGCAAGGAGTTTTATTGCAGTAGTACGTTTGTATCTTACTACCACAACTGAAAGAAGTTCCAGTTAGGACCGAATCGCTCTTCATTACAGCCAACAAAATGAATTAGATTGGTGCGCGGTACTCGAAGTAGGTACATACTAGATCTGCAGAGGCACTCCCAGAAATTGATGGCTGAAAGTTACACAAACGGGCGGTGTTAGAGTTAAGCCTATCATGAGCTTCATCAGTTCTGGTTATTTTCTGATGGAACTTTACTTCCTTGTATAGATTCAGTTAGCCGGTTGTTATAGTCCTGACATACCCGCCCTGCTACTCGCCAACTCGCAGTCGTGCTCGCCCTCAAAAACAAATCGAATAATGTGGCTTAAAAGCACCGAATAGGGAACCAATATTAACCCAAAGATCAACAAGATTTCTGGGTATGTTCCAAGATATGTCGACGGGCTACAGTTTTCGAGTACTTTTCACTACGATAAATATGCGATTCGGCCCCTACATCAGGTATGTTGCAGTGAATAGGAATATTGCATTTTATCCAAATCGAACGATTGGGCTTCCGTATCGATCAAAAGAGTTCTCGAAAAATGAATGTGACATGCTCAGGTTCTATTACCGACTCAGATACCAGTAACATTACACTCATATGATTTTTAGGTTATTTTCTCACTTTCTGACTGCTGTCAAACCTACCTCGAGTGGCTCATACTCGTACGTCACTTTCGGTATAAAAAAACTTACAGCACCTTCTCAAAAACCGAGAATCTTTTTTCAAGACCTATCGACTTCTCGGATGGATTGCTCGTTTATAGTGGATGGTTCAATTAGGGATAGATTCCTTAGATGGGTAGGACTGTTGCTCGCATTCGCGCAGCTCAGATCATTGTGGTTTTTAGAAGGAGATTTCAATCAGTACGTTCTGGTGGTCGTTCCGCAACCTCCGCATTCCGCTGTGCATGAACTCCATTGAGTGCATCCATCTGGACTGACTGGTGGAAGAGGTGCTTGAATAGTTAGGATTATCGCTCAAAATGATTCAATTTTGTGGAATTCTGAAAATTCTCGGTTATCACCTACTAGTTCTTGTAGTAGTTGTTGCTGCAATAGTTGTAGTTGGTATCGTAATGGTTGTGGTTCTGACAGTAGTGGTGGAGGATGGAGGAGATGGCGTTTGAGCAGGAACTGGAGGGTCTACAAAGGTATGAGACTGCAGCAGTTTTGGTTTGCAGGAAAATTTCATTGTCGGGTACAAGCTTTTACCCAATCTGCAACTTACCATATCGATAGTTCAAAGTGAAAGAAGTGCCTGACGATCCTTTGTAGATTACCACCAGCGTGTCACTTTGAGAATACGAGCTTCGTGGATATGTTTTGCAAAACCTGAAAGTGTAGCAGTAAAAAAGTGGAGCAGAAACCATCACTTCATAGTTTAATAGCGAGAAATCACGGAAGCGAAACAAAATTTGAAGAAAATCAGACAAGAGCACAATTACTCGGAAGTTTGTCGGTACATTGAACAACGCGACCTTTTGGTAGCTGTCTTTTTTGGTTTACTCGCAGCGATAAAGGAATATATCATGTTTATTGATAACTCTTTTTGAAAGCTTGTGTTGGATTGATCCCGTTTGGACCCACTATTGTACAAACTTCCTCTTTTACACATCTATAGGTTATGTGAATGATTGCCTTCTGATGAATCGACACAGAAGGATGGGTCTTGTGCAGTAATAGTAAGGTACCCACATTTCAGCCGTACCGCTCTGGAATCGGATCCCACGGAGGCTCATTAGCTCATCCGAGGGTATGGGTTGGAAACCTGGTCGAGAGGACATAGGCAGTGTCAAGTATGACATACACATTCTAAGCTATTCCATGGAAAAATTTCAGCAGGAACAAGCTCTTTTTCTTTTGTTCGTTGAAGATAGGATGAAGTTTTTGCCTTCGATCAATCCGGTTTTCGGGTTGCGCTGTCGCGTCTGACTTCCACTCGAAATTCTAGTGACGTTTTCCGATTTCCATTTTTGTGAGGCCACAATGACTTGCTGTGACCAGTTCATAAGCAAAAAAGTGCTTCCTTCTCAACATCAACTATGTTACGATTCAACAGTCTCCGGACCATGTGACCCTCGAACCCTAGTACACTACTTCCGCTTAATATTATACAAGCGGGAGCCTTCGCTGAGATAACCTACCTGTATGACCACAGAACACTAGTGTCTCGACTCACTCAGTGAGCTGAATACCGGTATGAGACCGTCTATTTGTGTCGACGGGCTCACTGAGTGGATGGGTTTATTTTTCCAACTCAAACTTAGAGGTAGTTATGTTTTTTTTGCTTTCAGGCTACATCGCCATCTTTGTAGCGATTACCACTCGGTGGTGTCTTTTTGAGATAATCAGGTAAGTTTTCCCGGGAGGATATGAATTCCGTACCTTGCCCCAGCACGCTGAAGATCAGCTACGTATTTGATTTCCAGAAAGTTGTAACTGCAAAGGTCCGAGTTCGAGAACCGGAACGACGAAACTTCGTAGTAGACGCGTCTGCCAGGCGGTGCCTGAAAGCTCCTGTTTGAAATCATGTGTACATTAAGTTTAAAACAGAAATGAGGTTACCTTAATAACATATGAGCATGTGACACCATTGCTGGCAGAAATCGACTGAAGTGATGCGGAAGCTACGAGATCTCCACTACCGCACCCCGACGGGTTCGTAGCCGCACGTTCGCAGAGCTTCCCACCAAATCCTGTTGGACATCGACATACGGCGCAGTTATTTGGATCGGTATATCCACCGTGTAGGCAATCTAACGCCGACGAGCAAGAACCTAGAATGTAAGCTGCTTTACTACTTTTCTCAGACTCCTGGAAGCATCTCCCACCCTGCCTGTTTCCCTAGACATTGATTGGTAACTTCCTTTGAAGCGCTCAGGTCACCTTTAGAAACCTTCAGTCATAATTTGTGTTATTTGCATTCACTTTGTCAGCAGACATGACAAAGTAGAAAGTATGTTTTTCAATGACCTCGTGCTTCTGGAAAACCCAAGTTACACCTTTCTGGAAAACCCAAGTTGCACCTCAGTTTGAAACTACAGAAAAACCTTGTCTCGAGAACGAGTTCCCATAAGAGAGCCGTTTACCGATTTTGCGTAGCCTTTCCTGAAACGGATCAGCATGCACCTCGAATGGACTCTTGGTTTCGATTTCGTCTATTTTGGAGTCATGGGCTTACAGTCGCCTTCTCTCCCACCGCTTCAACATCTTCAACCTTACGTTCCCACCTTTCCTATGTTCCCCTCCCTACTTCGCTCTCCTCTCCCCTTCCACTTTACTCCCAGTCCACCCGCTCTACTCCTGAAATTATTCAATAATTATGCTAGTGTACAGCACAAGTTTCATTACAATCAAGATGCGAAAGCGATCAACTAGCGCAGCTCAAGAGGCACAAAAGGAAGGGAGTGAGGGGGGGGGGGGGGGGGGGGGGGGGGGGGG